CCCTGCAGGGCTGGGCTCCCACCAGGCTCTGGCACTGAGCCACTTAGAAGATCTAAAGAGATCTCCTTTTCCCCTTGGCTATGATGTTCAGCAGAGTGCTTTGGCTCAAAAACAACCTTGCTTCTGGAAGAAAAAAAAAAAAGTATTATTTTCCCACATTTCCCTATGAATGGTCAAGGGAGTTAGAATTTTATTTTATTTTTTTTAATTCAGGAACCATCTGGCCTTTTGGCAAAACTATGGAGCCCCTCAAATGCAGCCTTACAGGGATGCTAAGTATGCGCCTCCACTCTCCCCCTTATTTGCCAGGGCGGGGTACTGGGGATTGAACTCAGGGTTAACTTATATGTTCCCAACACTCTGAATTAACTTCATTTCTCTGTGCTTCTGCAGAATCAGGAGTCCAAAAAAGACATGACGGGTACAAACCCCCTAACATCAGTCACTAAGTCAAACACCGTGATCAACTGTCCCAGGGACTTCTGGATGGCATAGAGGAGGTCCGAGTTCAAGTCCTCCTTCTGAGAGCTTCTTGGTCACAAATGCCAGTTGGGGCTCTCTGACCAGACACAGGGCTGTTCAGGGGCATCAGGGTGACTCCATGGTAGCTGAAGATATTGGTACCTTGCCTCTGTTTTGGCTTTAAGCCTACAGCAGGTGGGGACCCCATTACCCCAAACCTGTTCAGGTACAAAATCTCATGGCCACCCAGGGCCACTCTTCTCCTATTTACCTTCCCCGCCACCAAGTCCTTTCTCATGGTTTTGTGAAGATTCAGTGAGCAGGCATGTCACATATGCCCAGCAAGGTGCTGGCACCCAGCCTCGGGCCTTGAAGATCCTCTGGCATGTGCAACTGGGGGCCACCATTTCTCAGGTGAGGCAGAGGACAGCTGTGCCAGAGCATTCTCCATGATCTCAGCTGCTTATAGAAAATGCAGCCTCCCAGGCCCTACATTGGATTCTCCAAATCCAAATCAGAGATTCTGAAAATTTTCAGTCTTAACAGACACATGGGCTAAGGCTTCTGTTAGCCTAGGGTCTGTTCTGCTAGACTTCAAGGGAATGGATCCTTTTGATACCCTGGTGATTCAGAGCTTCTCCTTCCATTGGCCTCTTGGAGAACAGCTGTAGATTCCTACTGAGTTCCCCAAGGATATCTCTGCCACTGACCATCACCTGCTGTACCAATTCTCAGGCTTGGCAGGAGCTCCAAGAATCTCCCTCCGGCAAGGAAAAAATCGAGGGAGAAACCAACCTTCACACACACAAACAATAAACAAGCTGGGATTTTTATTTTCATCACAGGGCAAGAAAGGGATACAAAAGAAGCCTCTTGGTTGAGCCAGTAAAGAGAAAGCTCTAAAATTTAATTCTCAGTAGGGTGTGGCCCCAGATACTAAAAAAAAAAAAAAAAAAAAAAAAATTGAGAAAGAAAAGACAAAAGAGTAATTTGCAACATGATGCAAATTCTTAAATTCAAAGAACTGATTATGAGAACATCCCGGAGCCCTGCCCACCAGAGGGGAAATGACCACACAGGCTGGGAGAGGGTTTGAAGTCCATCTCTGCATACTTGAACTTGACTCCCAGGTCAATCCCTGTGAGCTTTCGACTTTTGACATTCCTGAGTTAATTCTTAACTAGGGCCAGATACGCTTGACCTTGCAGTTTTTTCCAATTTGGGGGTTGAGGAGGAGCTCTTCCTTGGACAGACTTGTCAGGCAAGAAAAGGCCCCAGCAGCCCTGGTCCCTTCTTTGAAGCACACTTCCCATTCTCCTGCCTTCACTTCCTGTGACCAGAAACCCTCACAGGTCCTGACTGTCTTTCCTTCAGCCACCGCGTTTTCCTCTACCTGGGTCTGTCTCTCCTTTTCTCCCATGCCAGTGATAGCCAGACAAG